TCTGAAATCCTTAACTTGGGGTACAAGATTCTTTAAAATCTGATTCTTCTTGTCTTTCCAGTTTAATCTCCAACCAGTCACCCTGTGCTTTGCCATATAGAACGGACCACAGAATCTCCAAATTCATCATGTAGTGTCATCATATTCTTGTGTCTTAATTAACATGATGCTGATTTTTTTTTCCTGGACTGCCATGCCTTACCTTCCCCAGCAAGCTTCCGTAGTTCATTATCTTTACACCCAATTCTCAAAACCCATGAGTATAAGGATCTGATTTTGCCTTTCTTATTAAAGAGCTCCTTCGTTCCCTGTGCCCTTGCTGTTGACACACTCAACAGTCCATACTGTTATGCTTAACTTGGTTTCCTCTGATCTCTACCAGGGCCTGAAGACCTGCTTTAGATACACTTGAGTACACTGTGGGCAAGTATGGCATGTGGTGATGAGTGATGCTCTATGAGGCTCTGAAAATACAAGTACCTGGGTGAGGTAAGAGATCCATGCCTACACTTGTGCCCAAGTACTTCTTAAGCATCCTGGGCCACAGCCATCCCTTCTTTCTTCAGATTTAATCATTCCCCCAGACACACATTCTCAGTCATTTTAATATTTGGTATCAGTGTTTGGCTCACCACTGTATGTTCCTGTTTTAATATTATGGGATAGAGATCTCTGTCTTCTGACTTATCTGTTTATGTAACTCTCTGTGTATGTATCTGTCTATCTATCTATCTATCTATCTATCTATCTATCTATCTATCTATCTATCTATCTATCTATCTATCTATCTATCTATCTATCTATCTTCCTATCTATCTATCTATCTATCTATCTATCTATCTATCTATCTATCTATCTATCTATCTATCTCTGTGTATCTTTCTATCTATCTACATAATAAAATCTACTTGTTAACAGACTTAGACATACTCTGCAACAGACATCTGAGCATTTGGCTATGCCTCTAAAATATTTCTTTCTAGGTCATCTTTGCAGTCTCCTCTTTACTAAAATTTATTAATTATTAGTAATCCTTAGAATTTTGTATTTAGTCCCTTCACTTCTATGATGCTATATCTCTGTGTCCAAGCAAGCTCGTTTGTCCCAGTGGCCATTTTTTAAATCATTAATGAGATATCATTACAGATCTATTCAGACATGGTTGAGACCTTGTGTTTTATTTTATTTGATTAAGAATTTTTTCATTCATTTTACATACCAATCACCGACCCCCCTCTTCCCTCCTCCCAGTCCTCCAGCATCACCCCCCCAGGACCCCCCCATTCCCTCCTATAAGAAGGGAATTGACTTCATGAGGAGTCAGCAGAGCCTACATTCAGTAGAGGCAGGTCCAAGCCCCTCCCCCTGCCTCAAGGCTGTGTGAGATGTCCCACCATAGGTAGTGGGCTCCAAAAAGCCAGCTCATGTACCAGGGATGGATCCTGATCCTACAGCCAAGGAGTCCCTAAAGCAGATCAAGCTACACAACTGTCTTGCTTATGTAGAATGCTTCGTCCAGTCCCGTGGAGGCTCCACAGCTGTTGATCCAAATTTCAAGAGTTCCCACTAGTTTGTTTGGTTGTGAGACCTTGTGTTTGATGTCTAGCCTTCCACATTTAAGAATCTACATTACATGGCCTAGGGTAAGTCTCAAAGCAGGTCAAATTTAGGTAGACCATACATGAGTTCATGACCTTGGCTTGACTTGCGGTCGTATTCCAAGATTCTGGCATCAGAGAATGGCCTAATAATCTATGCTGTGGCATGAATTACAGTGTGTGTGTGTGTGTGTGTGTGTGTGTGTGTGTGTGTGTGTGTGTGTGACTGTATGTGTGATGCATGCTTTTGCATGAGTGCATCTGTGTGCTGCTGCACATTCATTTGGAGGACCAAGGAGGCTATAGAGAGTTTTCTGCTACTGTTTTTCTTTTTGATTGCCTTGAGACAGGATCTACCACTTAACTGGGAGCTTGCTATTTTGCCTAGACTCACTAGTCAGTGGGCTCCCAGTGACTGCCTGTCTCCCTTCCCTAATGCCAGTGACAGAGCTATGCAGCTGTGTCTGGGTTTTCACATGGGTGCCGGAGATTTGAACTCAGTTCTTCATGCTTTCCTAGCAAGCACTCTTGTATATGTAAACATCTCTCATCCCTGAATTAGAATCTTCAGAGTCTTCCTTGACAGCTCTTTTCTCTGCTCTTCTCTGCCCCTACTGGGTTTGTTAATGACATCTTACTTACCTACCTTTTAACATCTGTCAAATAGACTCACACCTTTCCAGACTTATTACCTAGACCTCCCATTCAGCCATAACTTCATCAAGCTGCCATCATTTCTTTGCCCAGCAGCAGCTTTCTCTCTGCCTGCTGACAAGAACTTTGCTCCTACCGCTGTACTGTGCTGGAGTAATCTTTACAAAATGCAGAGCCATCACATCTCCTGAAAATCCTTAGTAGCTAACTATAGCACATGCTCAAAGGACCTGCATGCTTTTTAAACGCTCTCCTGAACCTCGGACACTTTGTCCCCCTCTCCACTCCAGTCTTCTGGCGTCCTATGGGAACCTGGTTCCACATTGGTTCCTTCAAGCCCCAGGCCATTGCATGTTACATATGACAATGTTCTGCTCTTCTCTGCCTGGACCCTTACTTTCCCTTGTTTTGTTTAATTCTTGTTTAATCCTGTAGAACTACTCTTTGGCATTGCTTCTTTAGAGAATGTCTCATCTCTTTGACTTGGTCACATTTGTGGTTTTTTTGTTGTATGTGTGATCATATGATGGATGGTTCTTTTCTT